TGAAACTAGGCAAGAGGTAAGGAGTTGGAAGAATATTATTTACTGTTAGCTGTATAACTAGTTTGACCCAAAAGTTAAAGAAGTAGTTTTATCTCCCTTGTGAAAGAAGAAGTGGGGCAACCTCGGATTCTAGAAAAAGTTGGCCAAAGTTAATAATTTAACATTTTACTTTTTATAATGAAGAAAACTAAAGTCAGTGTTTGATATATGCATCATTGGATTTGAAAGAGAACCTCTCTCTCTCCATTCACTGTAGGAGAGAGAGAGAGAGAGAGAGAGACATCAATCCAAATGCAAATTCTGTATAAAAATAAGTAATTAAATTAAAATAATGAAAGGGGGGCCATATAATCCATCTTTTTGGTTCCTCATTCCAAGGTCTTCCTGCCTCCTCCCTCCTACTCCCTTTCTCCTCACCTCTGTCAAAATCCACACGTACGACTTTATTCCATTTTTCACTTTTAAGAGAGTAAAAAAGAAAAAATTAATCAATTTTCCACCCTACATCACTGTCTCTGTCTCCCCTCTCTAGAAATTATATACCCACACGTATGACACTGTTTGGTTCTCGGATTAACTTGAATCTTATTTGTCAGCTTCGAATCTGCTGTAAACTGTAAAAGATTATTGTTTTAACTGGGTTAATTAAGCTTCATGTTATTTAGTTAAGTCAAAGCTTTCTTGGTTTCAACCATAAAACAATATTGTAAACTGTATGTCCTTCTCGTAGAGTGAATGTCTTGAACCTAAATTAAAGTTAAGACTTACACCTAATCTCTTAATTGAAATATCTTCTGGAGATGGCCTGCACACTTCAAACAGTTATCAGAATAGGAGCAAACCATGATTTTTCCCAATTGAACCCCCTTCGATGGTTAAGTCAGAAGCAGTTTAGAGGTGGAGAGAATGATGGCGTTTTAAGGTGAGAATACTTATTACCTTTGTCCTGATGTAGATGAAGGGTATTTATAGGAGGAGAAGGAGGGATAAAGATATTTAAGGAGGAGATATTTATCCCCCTTCTCCCTGGTGGGACTGGACTACATTAAATGATTTCTTCTGATCATCATACTGTCTAACAGGGATTAAGTGGCAGAGTGACACTTGGCTTTAGATGTGAGCTACATTAATTGATCCCTTTCCATCACTAGGCTGTATATCAGGGATTAAATGGTAATGCGACACCTGACTTTGGATGTGAGGTACATTAATTGATCCCTCTTTATCGCCAGGTTGTCCATCAAACGGAGGGAGTGACTAACTCAACATGGGCCTGATCGTGCCTCTAGAATGTCAGTACGCCTCTGGTTACACATGGTATCTCAGTGGTCGGGTTGGTATTCGCATGCCCGATCACTGATTCATACTCTTCCATTAGAATCGGCTAGGAGGCCCTTGATCGACACCTAGGGTAGTACCTCTGGTCGAGTCGGTATATGGGGGGCCCAATCTCTTATGGCCACGTGGTGTTCTCTGATAAGCTTGGCTTACAGTGATGGTATGAACCATTAACAAATATGTTTGAGATGCACATGAAAATATAGGAAGTAGTGTATAAAATATATTGTGTTATAAAATATATTGTGTTATGTTGTTAGACGAGTTGTATATGACTATACATGTAGGGGAATTCGAACTGGAGTACAAGGGCACAAGTACACTACTCTAATCAACTGGTCTGGTGTAATCCACATGCGCACTTTTATAAATTGGATGCAAGAACACCTTAACCAATTGACCTAACTCGAGATGATTTAGGGTTAATATTTACCTTATCACAATACATTTATGGATTGGTGTCAACTTCTAAAAATTATTATAGGAATAATTCAAATGCCCCTTTCCTCATTTGTCTTCTCTTTCTCCTTTCTCTAATCCCTTATTAAAAAAAGCTAAAATGTTATAATATAACAAATTGATAATACATATTTATAAGGCTGTGTAGCAAATACATTATACGTGCATGTACACAACAAGAAAATGGCCATTCTAGATATATATTTAAAGATGCACACATGCAGGTATGATCATGCCCAACAAAGAAGGGACCACAGTTGTGTGTGAAAGAAAGAAAAAATAAAAAGGTTCTCTTAAGTGAGTACTTCATTTATGAGAAGCGACTTCTTAAAAAAGCAAATTTTCCTTCACACATTCAATTCCTTCTGAATTAAATAGTCCTTGAAAATCCCACAGATTGATTGAGGGTAATGTCCAAAGCCATATATGCTTTGGCCACTTATGTAACTTTTAAGTCATTACATGAAGATATTGCACTCCTACTAGGACACATGGAGCACTAGTCAAAATATATTACTTTTGGCATAAAAGGCTCATTTTGGCTTTGATCACTATCATACGGATTCTTATTCCAAAACTTATTAGCCTTATAATCTAACCATTAATAATCTGAAGACCAAAATTGAATTTGGTGTAAAGATACTCGCTTAATCCTCTAAGACGTTGCCTGGTTTTTATACCTGTTTCATTCCTCATTATCAATAAAATACTATCGCCTTTATGTCAAAAAAATAATAATTGTGACCGCTTTATTTGGGAGATATCAAGATTTAAAAAAAGAAAAAAGAAAGAAGAAGAAGAAAAGATGGGGGATTAATGGGCAAGACTTGTCATGAATGTACAGATAAAATGCTCTATTGTAGAAATGAAGAAGTAAAAAGAGTCATAGTTGAGATTTATTTGGTACTTTGGTCTAGGTTTGAGATTGTTATCATTTGCCACAAAAGAATCTATAATAATTGGACGACGTCGCTTCATTTATAGCTAAGGAGAATTATGGAAAGAAAAAAAAGGTTGGAGAATATGATTTTTGGAAGTACTGACGATAATCGATCATAGTCTATATCAGAAGAGATATAGAAGCACATTTTTTCCCAACTTTTTTTACCCAACATATGTTGCATCATTACATTCAAAATCCCAGCCTGTTATAGTACGGTACCCAAAAGAATAATTTCATTTAAAATTCGGAAAAAAAGTTGATCGATGTATCATTCAATGGTTCCCAAATGATAGAATTAGAAAAGGAAGACCCAAAAAAAAAAAAAAAAAAAAAAAGAAAAAAAAAGAGGAAGAGAAACAATTTTTAGTGATGTAAATTTTGTATATCATTCAATGGTTCCCAGATATATATCATCAAGTATGCATGTATTGTGTAATAGTAATGTGAGATATTCTCTAATAAGTATTTAAGTTAAGGATTGATTACATACTTTTAATCTCGGCCATTGGATTATATCTAAGAGACTACCTGCACATTTAATGAATGCAATCCAACAGCAAAGATTAGAAGTATGTAACCAATCCTTAACATAAAATACTTATTGGAGAATCTCCCTAGGGATTAATGTTGAAACTTTAGGTTTTTCTTCTGGGATTGAGTTAATGGATAATGAAAATAAAAATTATAGACATTTAACTAGATTGGTAAAAATAATTGAAGTCCCAAAATCGTCCTAAGATTTTGAAAACAAAACAATACTTGTTTAACGCATATATTTCGAATCAGTAAGGGTTGATTTGATAACCATTTCATTTCAGTTTTTAATGTTCATTTATTTTGCTAGAATTATATATGGTAAAGTACATAGGGGGGAAATGATGAAAGAAAAAAGATGGCGGGAGGGAGGATGAACAAGTGAATGACAAATGTATGAAATAAAAACTTGAAACTAAAAATAACTTAGGGCCTATTTGATAACCATTTCAATTTTAGCTTTTAGTTTTCATTTTTTTATGGTAAAGTATAGAGGAGAACAAGAGTGAGAATGAGAGTGAGGATGAGATTTAGGGTTGAAATGGTTTTGTCCAAATGGAGTGAGGTACATTAATTAAAATGGTTATCAAACGGGGTTGTTTGGTTTTAGTTTTCATTTTGTGTACTATTTCATATACATTTCTTCCACATCTCTCCCATCATTCCCCGTTCATTATTTCTCACATGTATTTTCCTTCTATCTCCAACACAAAAATGAAATAATTACTAAATGTGGCCGTAAAATTTTGTTTTTTGTTTTTTTATTCTATTTTATGTGAACGTCCAGATATTATTACTGTGCGGTGCCACTTGAGTGTTGGCAATAATGTGGAAGAGAAGTACATCAAAGATAATAATAACAATTTGGAAGAGAATAAACCCTTCCCTGTTAGTGTCCAAATGGAGTTACAATCTTATCACAAAGGATAAAGTAAGAAAATAAATATGAAAAAAATGATGAGAAATTTCTTGAGATTCTGTAATGTGAACCCGCACGAGTCTCTACATTGGATTCTCTGTTTGATGCCGGGCTCAGCTGCGACACCCACATCATCTGACAACATGATCTCTCACCCTTGAAAATACATTATAAAACTAATTCATATAAATTAATTTATAATCCCATACACACACACCCACTGTCCCTTCTGTGTTCCTAAGAGGCCATTATGCAAATAAATAAATAAATAAATAAATGTTGGAAATTAAGTCCAAGCTCAGCCCAAAAGTGATATTGGAAGGCATGCATTTTGTGGAGGTCTTTTACAGAAAAGGCTGAAGATGAGGACACTAATTTTCTACAACAGAATATGGTGGACCCTCAGTTTACAATTCTAGCCGTTAATATAGACTAAATAATTTTATTAGACAACAAATAGTGGCACCATATATGATTAGATATGGTGGGGTTCCCTAATTGAATTTAAATAAATTAGTACTCCAAAATTAGCCTGTGTAGGAATCCAATATTCAAAGACGTACGTCATGATGCAACATTGCTGATACCAATTTGTCCCCAAATTAATTCCATTTCCAAAATTCCCATATATCAACTAGTTATAATGGGCACGTAAAAGCACTCGTAGCTCAGATGATTAAGAATATTTATCATGTATTTGAGGTCTTAAGTTCAATTCTTGTCCTGTCGTTTTTAATATTGCTTGTATAAAAAACTAGTTAATAGGTGCAAAATATATATATATATATATATGTATAATTTCCCACATGAACTTTCAATCTTCAATAAATTGAAAAGAGGAGTTTACACACAAAAGAAGTCTCTATGCTTCTCCTTTAAGTTGACTTAACAAACCAAAGCCTTGAGATGATTGGTTGCAAGCTAAAACCACACTCAAACCTCAAACCTCAAACCCACCCATTACATTTTGCACTCACCAAACTCCAAATGGTCAGCTTACATTTAAAACAAAAAGGCTAAAATTTAATTAGTTGGACAGCCCCAGCTAATTTAATTACTGATTAGTATAACCCTAGAAAATTGAAAACCCAACTTAGATAGTTGGCAAAGGAAAGGAAAGGAAAGGAAAGCAAACCCAATAATTGCTTTCTTAAACAACCCAACTCAAAATAATCTCATCCCACACTGTCTTCAGATGATATGAAGAAACTTGCTAAACTAAAAGTAATATATTTGGTAAAAGATTAAGCATCTCTTAAACTGATGAAATTATTATTTTTATACTTCATCATCATGAAACTCATAGTTTTAAACTGAAATACCGCCATTTGCAAAGTAGAAGAAGAGCTCCAAGTCCGGGGGAGCAAAGAAAGCGATGGGAGATCTCCGAAACAAGCAGTTTGATATCACTCTTTGCTTCTTGGGCGCCGGTGGACATGTCACAATCTCCGGTATCCGAAATCTCTGACCTTTTGGTGTGGAGCAAGCGCTTGTAGAGACATCATCAGGACCCTCCACATCTTCTGCGCCGCCTTCGATCTTTGGAGAATCATCGCAGACCACGGAGGAGGAATTCGAAGGCGAATTCGAAGGAGTAATTTCTTGCTTACCCTTTTGGTTGACGGGCTTCTTCTTGAAATTGGTTCTTCTTGCCTTTGTTGTTGTTTTTGTCTTCGCTCTTGTTCTTGCAGATGGAGCCATGGATGGATATATAAGAGTGAATGAATGAGGCAGGCTCTGGTAGGAGTTAGTTAAAGAGAAACAAAGTTGAAGTGGGGAAGAGTTTGAAGCCGGCCAAGAAGGAAGAAAGAAGAAAATAAAACTAATCTATATTGGATGCTTTTAAAAGCAAGTAAATTTGACTGAAAAAGTGGCAAAAAGCTAAAATGATCAAACAACCCTTTGGAAGCAAAGCCTTTTCAACCAAAGCTTACAACAACTGCAAGAAACCCCACTGCTCAGGGAGACTGGAAATGAGATAATTCTATCCTCCAAAAGAAAAAAGGAAATAAACCCAGAAATACTAAGAAGACACCAACACTAAACCAGCAATAAACATGCCTTTCCCTAATTTTCCATGGCAGCCAATAGAAGAAGTAATTAGCAGAACTAGAATGATCTAATAAAAACAGTAAAACCCACAAAAACCTTGGTATGGTGGTGACCCACAAAGATGTTTGATGAAGCCCAGATGAAAAACCCTACTATTGAAGGAAAAGGAGTTGTATTTAATGGAAGCAAGAAAACATTGGAGTGAATAAGCTTGGAGAGAGAAAACCCAGTTGGTTAAGACTTGAAAAGCCCTAATTAAAACCCTAGAGAGAGAGAGAGAGAGAGAGAAATGTAATGGAGAAGATGAGAAGAGCGGGATCTAATACTTATTATGTCGCCCCGTAGGGCTTAGTTTATATTGATTGAGATAATTCGGGCAAGGCTGCCCGCTGCCCCGAAGCAATCCCCAAGAAAACAAAGGAGGCGGAGGGAGAGAGAGGAGCCCGCTGCCCGTAATTAAAAGAAGAGCGATTTAAAAGTGATTAATACCTTCTTTTTCCCATTTTATAAATGAATATTTGAATTTATCAGAAAAAGACAATGATATACAAATTTAAAACCACGTAATTTCAAACATAAGCACACAATTAGTATATAAAAAAAAAATTAGTGCAAAATGGTGCAAATTATATAAACGAAACTCGTAAGGTCCGACTAAATAGTTTAAATAATGATCTGGAATGCTCCTCTGATACAGTGAGTCATTTGATTTTTAATGATTTGTGTAGGATTTTTACACCCAGATCTTTTGTTAGTATTTTTTTTTTTTATCAAAGAGAAATTTCATTAGATAAACTTCAACGTAATTAAATCAAAAACATCAATAAGACATCTAAAGTACAATTCTCAAGAGAGTTTTTCTTAGTTAGCATTTGTGTCGATGAAATGAACCCCATTTTGCTATAAATAAAAAAAAGAAAGAAGAAGAGAGTTACAACTTAAACCTTCGGTGCAGGAACTAATACATATTAGAAAATCACATCCTATTAATGGTTTGGGCAAGTTTATCGAAATATATCTGAGATCTCTAGTTAATAAAATAATATTTGAATTGCTCTCTCCTCCCGCTAGGCTATTAAACAAACAAGTAAAATATCTGAGAGGTATATAAAACGAAGAAAATATATTTAATTTTGTTTGCCTCCTAGGGATTTACATAGACCAAGAATAATATGGGCAATGCAAGATAGCCAGCTGCCCGAGGAACAGTTAATAGTTAAGATTCTATTTGATTATATGCAGTACAAAATTAATAATTATTTTATTGTCATAGTTATCTAAGTTGATAGACGAGAGCAAATGAGTTGGGAAAAGATATTCACTCACTGTTTTTGTCTGCGAGCCAAAATTATTATTTTGAAATACATTCATGCATGGTTGGTGCTCATCTCGTTTTTTTCCCCCATCTTTTATGAGAATTTTGTAAAGGCAATGTCAGTGCTTCTCAGGGTATCCTAAATACAGGAATTGTATATTTGTACACGTGTCCCAGGGTACTTGGACAGAGTCATGGCATACAAGAAAATTGTTTGGGATTGTTTTGGTTTGTGAATGATGAACATGGGTCAATCTAGTTTCATGTTCATGTTACTGTTTAAATATTTTAATAAGCTCTTTGGACGTTAACTTCCCATGGTTTTGTTTTGACACCATACTTCTAGTGAGGCTGTCTCGTAGGTTTGTCTATCTAAGATAAATTATATGTATACATATGTTTTAAAAATTATCAATTCAAATAGTTAATGAGGTAGCACGTTATGTTGTTAGATTGTCTGATTTGAGGTCAGATAAAGTGTGATTCAAATTGATAGCTTGACAATCTAGTTTGATAGTTTGGCGAGACATGCGTAGTTGTTTAGCAACAAAATATTTTGCAAGTTGAATGCTTTCACAATAAATTGAGAAGGTTGATATCATTCAAACCTACCATCATTGGTTGGATTGGATGAGTTGGATGAGCTAATGATTTGGTCGTTGCATGACTTCATTGTACTTGTAGCTCAAGTGATTAACAACATTTATCCATACCAGTGAGGCCGTGTGTCCCAATTCCCCAATACCGTTTGTGTACTTGTAATTGAAGATGGATCTAGCTACTTATGGCATGAGAGAGAGAGGGGTTGACTTTGGTTATAACTAATGAGCAAGCTTGGAAAAGCTGCTAAACATGCTATTATTTCCACAAAATGAGCATTCCAAAGTAAAATCTCATGTCAACTAATTCCAACGTCTGCTCAAAATGAAATAGATTTCAGCAGAGAGAGCCAACCTCAGCGTAATTCTGGTGGGTTGCACATGAATGCCGTACACAAACTTAAAGGAAGTGAAAGCAATAATTGGGATGGATCGAAGTCACCATAATCTTGAGGTTCTCAATGGGATTTTATAACTAGCAGCATTTTAACTTCTTGTATTTCAATACCATATGAAAACTCCAACACAACATAACAATTTCAGCAACAACATAGACAGGAAAAAACTTCCCTTCCCTGTTAGTAGGAACTCATTCAATCCTGTCAATGGCAGTTTGTCGAGTGTAGAAGTTTTTTGTTTTGTGTTTTTGATGAATTATTTTTGCACAAGTGTTGAACCGAGGTTTGCAGAAAGGAGGAAGGAGTCGGGCGTATCCTACATTATATTGCTCTACTCCTGCCAATAGCCATAGTCAATACTGCAAATGTATTATAATAATTATTATCATTTAACATACACTGACAAGAAAAACAGGTTTACAAGGAAACTCTTTTACTCTCAATTTTCGTCTTCAGTCTCCCACCATTTGATCTAAATATTTGTCTTCGGTTTTCAGCCACGGTACAGCAATATGATAGTTGGTTTAAAACTCCAGTTCAGAAAGTTCAGAAGGGAAAAGGGGTGGAGAGAGTCAGACAAGTTTGCATGAAATCTGTAAATTACTGAAGCAACACTGTACAAGAAGAAAAACACAAGTACTTGATATCATTGTCTAGAAAACCATAAGCAAACCCTTTTTTGTCTACATAAATAAGGAAGCAGAACAAAATAGGCATCCATATTCAACCCAACTATGCCTAAAACATCAATAGCCGACACATGAGAAACAGTTCTTAGCCAACCAAACTTAAATTCTGAAAGATAAAAAGAACTCGACCTTAAATGTCATCAATTTCAGGGACCTATGTATTGACCCAACATGTGTCGAGCGATATAAAGTTAAGGCAACAGAGAACCTTAATTAACGGACAAAACTAGCATGCAAAACTACTCCCAAACCAACAACTAGAAAATCTAACTGAATGTCTGCAAGCAAAATTCCAAACAGTGAAATAAAAGATTATAACAAGTACATAATGGCAAATGATAACAAAGATCTATAAGGATCACCGTCCTCTTGAAACTGCTTCATCCAACTCCTCGTGTGATGAAGGGAACAACTCTATATATCGACTTCCAAGTGTCATCCTATCCTTAGCCATAGCTGCCTTGGAATCTTCTGCACTTGCAAACTCTACAAACCCTTCCCCAGTTGGCCTGCCTTCTGAATTCATTGTAAAATGAATTGAGCTCTCTGACAACACAAAGTCCTTAAAAAAATCCATTATGTCATCCTTGCCAGCGGAAAATGGCAATCCCCTCAACCGCAATACCCCTGTATGTTCTGCTGAGTCCTTCCCTTCATCATAAGATTTGGCCCTTGGAACATTTCTGCGAGGGGAACCGCCACGAGCATCAGAAACTTCATTTGCTATTGCCTTGTAATATTCCTGCCTCTTACTTCTGAACACCTCAACATATCTCCTGCCCATATTCTGCCTATTCCTTGAAAGGGCAAAATCAACCTGAAGAGGATACCCCAAAACACAAAAGGCTTCCCCAGTGAACTTGCCATTCTTGTGGACAAAAAGAACATCAACGATGTCAAGCCCATGGAGAAACTCAGCAACATCAGCTTCTGTGCAATCAAATGGTAGACCACGAAGTTTGACAACAGGGAACGGTGGAGGTTGTCCAGCATATGCATAAGGAGTTGGATTGTACATATAACTTGAGCCAGGGGAGGTCCCATAGAATGAAGATCCCGGGTCACCTAGCCGCTGACGCTTTGCACCCATGTCACGGCCATCACCACCATCACCGAATTTACTTTAGTTCCCAGTGACACCGAAAGCCACAGAAAAGAGAAGCAAACTCATCAATACTCTTATCACAACTAATTACTCAGCTACATTAATAAGCATTCCAATTATCAGATAGAATTTCATCCAGCAGCCAATTATGATTAAAACAAACATGAATCTTGGTGGAGTGAGAAGAAAAAGGACAATACATGTCTCCTACTAGCTCGGTAGTTTTTGCAGGAATAGCATTTCTCATCCAGTTTGCATTAAGTCACAATTTTTATATTGCAATACACATGAGTTACAACCTGTGACCTAAAACAAAACCTAGAAGAACAATAGCTGCACTAAAATGGAATTCAAGATTAGGAATTCATGAGGTACTGTTTATAATACTCAGCAATATATATTTCTAAGCTACAATTTCCTAAAAATTACATTTGCAATCAGGTTATTCAATACGTAATGTAATGGTGCAATCATAATACACAACTATGATGATGAACACCTATGTCAAAATATTTACTAAGTTCAGGTACTTGATGAGTAGAAAAAAAAGGTTTACGTACCTAAGCTGTTCAACATGGAAGAAAATGACAAAAATAACCAGAACCAAGGTTGTAAGTCCCAGATAGCAATCATAAATCCAGATAAAGGCGGATTTCAATGTCCAGGTTTCTAGTCCAAAGTTCACTCTTGAAATTAGTTATTAAGTAAAATTTCGACTTGCATCAATTTGGATGTAGCATACAACTCTGGAATTGAATTAATCAAAAGACACACATTCGGTTGGTTGAATTTGTAACTAGAAAGGCTAATACAGCACCCAATAATCTTGCTAGTTCTTTTTATGTTCTTTGTGTGGATGTAGGAGAATTAAGTCCCCAGGTTGATTTTGTATTTGTTTTCCTTTCTATATCTCTGTTGTTTAGCACCCAAAAAAAAGTGTGCCTTGTCACACACGATTTTATAAAAGTCTAGATTTAATCAACGTCATTCCTATCAAATTTTCATGTGATGTGTATTGTAGCTTGTCTCATAGTATCCACAATATTATGCTCTGCCTTCACAAATTCCAGAGTCCATGAAACATCCCATATAACTACGTACTACAGAGCAGATTAACAAGCAGCCCTTGTGCACTAACTCCTTTCCCGATGTGGAATACTTGCAATGAATCATAAAGAAACCAGCATACCCATAATGCACCAGGACACCCATAATGCACCAGGACAAATTGTAAATGAATGAATATCCATCTTTATTACGGCGGTATCTAACCTTAAAAAATTATAGGATACTTCTTCTCAGTGTTGCCAAGAATATAGGTAAGCAAATTATTTTTTTTCAATGAGGAACTTAAGAGGGAAGATTTGATTCATAAATAAAGGGACTAATCTTAAGTACAAATGGTTTAACAGGAAACAACACCACAAATCGAGCCCAACTCGAAGTTAGTGAGTTTTTTTTTTTTGGGTCAATGAAGTTAGTGCGTTAGGATTGACCATTACTTGACATGAACTCATAATGGCATGACCATCAAACAAAAATAAACAGGTCAGGTTAGTGTCATTCACAAATAATCTCGACTCGAGAAAACTGTTTGATTAATATCATAGGAAGACAAAACTAAAACCTTCCATTTCTTAATATGTATTGCATGACTCCTTGTAGACTTATAATTTTTTTTTAATGGTTTTTCTAATATCCGGATGAAGTGGTTTTTTATTTTACAAGGAACGTATGAGTAGTAAGTTTGGTTAGAAATAAGAAAAACCTTGTTTTAACTTTTTAATTCATAATATATATGGACCAACCCAAACACGACACCAATAATAAACAGGTTAGGTTAGCGTCAAACCATTCCTCTGTTTAACAAAAGAGTTCAGATTAGGGTTGACTAATATTGGCAATAACATAAATGAGAGGACATGAACACTATCCACTAACATGACTTGGCAATGAAATGAGAATTGACCCAACTACAACACGAGTAATGTCACATCATCTGACATAGTGAATAAATCAAGTTGGATTAGAGTTCTTGCTAGTATTCAACATGAATTAGATTGCAATCCTAACATGAAACCCATACGACTTGAATGCTACTCTAGGCGTGATTAGGTCCAGAGTTTGAAGCATTCCATTTGGGGTTGAGGTACTAGCTTTTAAACCTCAAGGAGCAGGGAAACACCTTGGGTGTAAACATTATGAAATAAAGAAAAACGGTTTCTTTTGTGCAAAGAACAAAATTATATGGTTATTTCTTGGGAAAATAGAACAATTACATTTGGTCCAACAAATCACTGGGACACTCGTAAGTATATTTTTATTATCCATATCAATAATACTAGGTACCCTTTACCTGGTTTTAGCTACTGGAACCCCATATAAAATAATAAAATAATTGGGAAACTTTGATTAGCAATGTTCTCTGAAGACATTAATGAGGTCAAACATTTTATTCAGGTTTCAAATAAGATTTTCGAAATTGTTTTAGTTTCTAGTTTCTAATTTCTAGTTTCGATGAACTTTTTCCTTTAACTGCTTGTCTATTTTGAAACAAGGGAATTAATCAGTTCCTCTAAAATTTTAAGCATTGCCCAATTTTCCTCAGACCCATAAAGAACATAGAAAAAAAAATCCCAGTCCTATCATTATTACCTAGTGAAACATATAAAACCATGACTATATAATTACGAACGAATTACTGAAAACTAGTTTATTGGTCTGAATAAGGGTTCTATAATCATAAATAACTAGCTATGCTCCCTAAATTTGTTAAACTCTCATCGTAGTTAACAATATAAAGCCAAAGAAAACAAACACAGAACATATGAATAAAGAATTAAGGAACTTAATCCTAATCATATCAATTTAAGCTGTTCAAACTTCAACTAAGGCCTACGTCAACCCCTTTTTGTTCATATCAAATCTAATCCAAACAACCCATAAGTTTTCAACCAAAAAGAAAAAAGTCGAATTTAAATTCTGGGCATTTTCCGATTCATACCACTCGAGAATTAAGCAACAAACAGGAAAAAAAACAAAAAAACAAATCATAAAGATTAATTGATAAAGCCCATCGATTGAAACCAGTCGAGAAAGAGGACAACTATATATGAATGAAATAACCTAAACATGATGAAAAGAACGAGAGAAATCGCAAAGACAATTCTTTTTAATAATAATGGAAGAAGTAGAAGAAGGAAAGAGCAAGAAATTGGAGAAAAGGAAAGTGTGTTACCCTCTGTAGAACATGTTCGTAGAATTATCGTCGTCGTCGTCGTCTTACCCACTCGATGTTTCTGTCTCTTAGCCACTTCAGACTTTCCTTTCGAATTAGAAGAGAAACGAGAGCCCAGGCCCGAGAGAGCGTCTGATAAGAAGCAAGAAAACCAAAAAACAACAAAAAGCCTCGATGAACGAATATTTTCTTCTTTTTGGTTTTTTTTTAATGAACAGAACAACAATATAAATTGAATTTATTAATTTCTTACATTTATTAACACATAAAAAATTAAAAATTATGTGAAGAACATGTTAAAATTCATAATCACCAATACATGATAAAATGAGTTAGATTAATTAGAAAAGTAGTTGATCCGATGCGTATTCATTAGCTCCCCAATTATTGACTTTCCCTATTCACGACTTCTCCCATTTCATGTAAAGTATTTTTCTTTTTTCTTTTGTTACAATCTTTATTATTATTATTAGCTGCCTTAGACAAAAGCATATGTGATTAGAGGTAAGGCGCAAGTAGCATACTTAGAACATCTACAATAATGCTCCCTATTTTAGTTAAAATTTAGCTAAAAACACTCAAAGGTTATTTTAGGAGCTCTCTTTAAAATTTGAACTCCAATCATACTCCTTAGTTTAAGGATTCATAAATACTATAGTTATTTTTTATTATTTCAATATGATTGGTACATCTCTAATATATATATATATATATAGCATTAATTAAAAGTTTAAACTATGCATGATAAAACAAAACAACATTAAATTATAAAGAGCCACTATGAGTCCTTTCTCTTTCCTTAGATTTAGAAACACCTAGAGGCCCTCCTTACTTTAGGAGGTGAATACAGAGCATGGTTGAAGTCATATTTTTCCAATTCCTCTCTAAAATTTATCTAAGGCAGTGGTTTAACGAGCCCATTGTAGACGCTCTTACACAAAAACCTACCAATCATTCTTAAGGGGGAATGTATATAATTTGTAACCGTATTGCTGACTGAGCCAAATATCAGATCAAATCAAACACACTTATCTGCTCACAGCTTTGAACCAAAATAGAGTTAAAAAACCCATTTTGGCAGCACTAGAATGGTTATTACTATTCATGAGCCACCCAAAGATCATGGGCTCTTGGCAAGAGTTTAATTTTGACAACATAAAGTTTAAACTGTCAGTGCCATAGCATTTCATGCCTACACACTACTCTTTAGACTTTATGTAGCAACCTCAAGTTTTGTCAGGGAGCCCTCTACTCAACACAGGCTTAATCTGAACCGTCAAGGTTCAGCACAAGTTTACATAAGAAAAGCCTAAAAAATGTTCCTCTTAGGAGAGAGCTGTAGACCATTCCACATTGGATACTGTCAAGAGTCTCATAGCTTCCTTATGAGGAGAAACATCCTCTGATCAAGTTCAAAGTTCTTGAATTGAGAGGCTTCCCCCTTCAGCATCATCAAAAGGCCACCAAATGAAGCATTTACCTCCCTGAACCCAAAGACAAGAAAATTAGAAGATAACAATAAAAAAGACCTTCTCAGTTAACATGACAAAGTTTTACTTAAACCCCAATAATTTGTCTTTCTGAATGAAAAGCCAACAGAGCAAATGACTGTCATATGATTGGCATCATTATCCTCCACAATATGTTGCAGAAATAACAAGGATCTGAGTCATAGTTGTAGGGGATATGATGCCTTGTAAGTGGACTTCATCAAATTCATGACAACTTATACCAATTCAGAAGAGCAACCACTTTAATGATACCTACATTTGATATTTTCTTCGTCTTTTTTCACAAACATACAAACAAATAGCACACTTGTAGATCCCAATAAATTATTATTTTTATTACTTACGCTTTGGGATCACGTTTAGAACCTTCTGAAATTTTGAAAAGCTTCCCTTGCATGACGTATTCATATTCATCGGCCAACGTCTTGCGATTGCCCTGCAAAAAGGGTACCTTTATTAGTTAGGCGTAATATGGCTCAATGATTCGGTAAACAACCAAACAGAAACTGCTACAGCTAAGCTACGTCAAGAAAACATGGAACACATAATCATCCTCAGAATCATCTTCTCAATGCGTTGTCAATTTGTCATTATCAAAGATGGCTTTGTCATATAATGACCTATAAGCTATAATATCTGCATTTCATATATGATCCAATACAGATAGATACTATCACCAACTTGATGTGACAGAGCCCAGTCATGGTGTTGGATTGTTTTTCCATTTAAGAAAAAATTTATTTGAAGGCAAGAAGAATAGAAACCTAAAAGCAAAAAAAAAGTTTCTAAAAAAGAAGGCGTTCACATAAATAACAAAACTCAAGATGTGGCCCCAATCTGCAACTTCGAAAATACTAATGCGCAATCACCCGTTGTTCCTTTCCAATCAAAAAGAACACATGGCACACAAAGAGGTAGGCGTCCGAAGTCCAAACTACATCATCCTTCTTATAACAAAAAGGCATGCCACACTGAAAGGAGCTCAAACAATGTCCAAGGATATACACGAAATGCCAAATAAAGAGAATACAAGTTCAGATAAGTTAAAGCCACCTACACGAGTGTAATAGATTTTGGTCAACCAAGTCTGCCACTTGCAATCTAACAGCACTCACCGTAAATTTTCCCCTAAAATCAAGTTATTCGACTCATTGCAGTTTCTATATGGTGCCATCCATCCAAAAAACAGTATTTATGAGGAACTTAGAACACTAGCCCTTCTATTAATGAAAATAGATTCTGCTCCCACTAAAGCCCAATAAAAAGATCTAATAGAAAAAGAAGTCTACGAAGACGGCAGCTTCTCCAGCATAATATAAATAAATAAATAAGCCCCCCTTACTTTCACCCAATAAATTACCCTACATAAGTAATCCACCCTACAACCTCATAACCATCCACTTTTTAATGAAATAAAGATCCCAGATCCAACTCAAAGAAGAGAGCTTCCTTATATCAACAACCAAGCTAATCAAAACAAAGAATGAATCTCAAAGAAGAGTGTCACCACACCATAATTTGTCCAAAATCTCAATCTCAAGCCATCCCACACTCCTATTGTCCTTTCACATACCAAACCCACATGACATTCTCACTGGCCTCCTATATCAACCACATAATTTGTGTTCCATCATGACATATAGAAACTGCTAGAGAACCCAAAATAACAAATTTCTTTTTTTTATAAAGAATAAACCCCTAAATGGACAGAGAATGGAGGCCCAAAAAATAGGGTTTCATGAAAATCCCAGTTCTGCCATTTGTGCTAAAATCCCTGATAATAACTCTCAAGCTAATAACCCAACTTGTGAATTCTTTTCAACCATAAACTCCATCCACAAGGTACATGCTTTCATACATGTCACGCTTTTCCAGCATAGATACAGTACAAACAAGCAGGTAATTACCCCATAAGCAACATTAAAAAAAATTAAGAGAAGGAATAAATAGAAGTTTACCTGAGTGAAATAGCCAGTATCAGGTGTTCCATCCAAATTGATTGTAGAAGTTAGAGCCATTGAGAATTTCTCACCTTCCCTCATGGGATATACCTCTGAATTCACATCTAGGTGCATGAACATCTCGCAAGTCTCACTCTTTGCTTCGATTCGAGTAACTAACAAGTACCAAAAAATTAACGAAACAAGAGAAAAAAAAACATCTTGAAAAATTATGTATAAGAATTTTTACACTTGCAATACCTTTATCAAACTTTTTGCCATCTGGGTTCAGTCGCAGAATCTGAAATATATCCTCGAACAGACGATCAACCATCCTTGCGTCTCTCACCCCAGACCGTTGTTTCACCAGAAAACGACGGCGTTTTCCACCTGTGGGATCGAGTCCTGGAGACGATGGCTAAGCGAGCGAGACAGAGAGAGGACGAGAGTAAAGGTGTGATGCGGTGCGTTTCTAATGCGGATCTAATATCTCCCCCCTTCGATCTATTGAACGGTCAGGATCTGCCTAGAAATGGCATCGCCAGTTTATTAATGAAAAAAAAAAATCCTTTTTAATTTTTCCTTTTTAATAAAGAAAAATAAGAAAATTTGCCCTCCTTGTGGACCATTGTCGGCTACTGAGACACGGATTCTGAATACATTTGCCCTCCTTGTGAACCATTGTCGGCTTGACCAATTTGGTTCCCACCTTGCCGTCTCTTTGTAGTCTCCCCGTCTAGATTCAAATACACACAAGCAAATTAATGTCCTAAACTGACAACGATGTCCAAAAAGAACTAAAAGTAAATTGCAACAAAATCCTTCGGTTGCTGAGCATATTAATTTAATTGAGAGGAAATGAGAATTTTTTTTAGTAATGTTTTGAAAGAATAATCAGATTAAGAATTTAGCAAAAAATATAGGGTCATGTAATCAAATAAAAGCATCATCCATAGCTAATCATCATAAGACGTTTCTTTTAGAGCACCTCCAGCGCAGGGCCTTTTGCCAGGGCAGGAGGCCCTTTTTGAAGAGTTTGGACCTCCAGCATGCAACCAGCAGCCTAGGCAAGGCCTAAGTCCCATCAGCCCGGGCAAGCCCGAAGGCTGATCCTGTCTGGGCTTTAGCTCGAAGGCGCTGACGTCAGCGAGCAAAAAAAAAAATCAAAAAAATTGAAAAACCTTAAAAAAAAAATTTCAATTTTTTTTTTTATATAAAAAAAAAACCAAAAAATTATGAATGTTTTCCCTATAAATACATAACAATTTTATTCACTTTCCATATAAATACATAACAAGTTTATATTTTGTTGCATATTCTTTTTTTTTTTCTTACCCTTGCCCTAGCCTTTTGGGGTGGAACCAAAAAAGGCAAGGCTGCCACTATTCACGTGAATTGTAGGTGCCCC